TCAATCCCTTCCCCACCCAACCTGTAGCTGTGCCTGGGATTGCCATGGCCCAGATGTAGGACCTTGCACTTCATTTTATTAAACTTCATGAGGTTTGCATTGGCCCACATCTCCAGCCTGTCAGGGTGCCTCTGGATGGCACATCCCTTCCCTCCAGCATATGACTGCCCCACACAGCTTGGTGGCATCAGTGAACTTGCTGAGGGTGCTCTCAATCCCACTGTCCATGTCGACAACAAAGATGTTGAACAGTATCAGCCCCAGCACTGACCCCTGAGGGACACCACTCATCACTGGCCTCCACGTGGACAATGAACCGCTGACCACAACTGTCTGCTTGCGACCAGCCAGCCAGTTCTTTATCTACCGTGTGGTCCACCCATGAAACCATGTCTCTCCAATTTAGAGACGAGGATGTCATGTCAAACACCTTGCATAAGTCCAGGTAGATGGTATCAGTCACTCTGCCTCATCTACAAATTCTGTGGCCCCATCATAGAAGGCCACCAAATTCATCAGGCATGACTTGCCCCTGGTAAAGCCATGGTGGTTATCAATCACCTCTTTGCTTCCCATGTACTTAAGCACAGCTTCCAGAAGAATCTGCTCCATGATCTTGCCAGGCATGGAGGTGAGACTGACTGGTTGACAGTTCCCTGGTTCTTCTGCTTTCTTTCTCTCCTGCAGCAGCAGGACTTGCCCAGCTCAATTTGTAGCACAAACATAGCTCAGCAAAAGTGTTCAGATTAATTTTATCTCTGTTTAAGACTATCTGTCCCACTGGATCCACCAGGCTTAGGTGTATTTTAACAATTCTTAGCTCCCAGACAGGCAGACTTGCATTCATGAGTTTCAGGAATCTGAATTTTTGCCTTTTTTGTGACTCAGCACTGTGGAAGGGCACAGAAAACACCAGCAGACCATTGCTCTCATCAGTCGTGTCTCTGCTGCAGATGGCACAGACAAGAGGTCTTCCAGTACACTGTGAACTTTGCTTGCAGATGAGGAGAGGGGGAAGACCAGGAGCACAAAAATAATTTAGGAAAAGTCTGAAGTCTGTTCTTATGGCAAACAGTTCCAATTCTTTAAATTACAAAAGTGACACTTAAATGTAAATTTAAAAAAACATCACGTGAAAGGCATTTTAACTTAATGCAATTAGCACCACAGACTTAAGCACACTGTGTGCTGCATAGTAGTCCCTTCCAGCATATAAATCTCCAGGTACAAGATGTGTTGACAGAAGGAAAGCTTTGCCTATAAGGTTTTTTTCCTGCACTTCTGAACTCCACACTGACAGGAAATCTCCATCTCTGGCATGCTTCCAGCTTCATAACCATAATCCCATGTGAGTTCAGCTCCAGCTTTCACAAGTCTAAGAAATAAAACACTTGGTCAATTTGTTTGAACTAAGTGACACAGCACCGTGCTCACAATTTGCCACCAACAACTCACATGCAGACCCAGAATCTGCAGGGGGTAGGAAGTATCACACAGGTATCTCCCTTGTTGGGAGAGAACCAAGGGATATGAGGAGCACATGCATGCTGCTTTGCCTACCAGAGCTATGGAGAGAGTGCAAATACCCAGACATAGGAGAAAAAAGATTTATCAAGCAGTTCATTAGGGTCAGAGCCTAAATAACTTGCTCTGCCTTAGAGGTAAATTTGGGGTAACAAAAATCAAAAGGAAAACCACAGAAGTGAATGAGAACATTGTTCTGCTATTTTTACTAAGATGTGTTGGTGACTCATCTTTGGTCCGACAGGCTACATTTTAACGCAATTGCACCATCTATATGCACAAGGCCTAAGACTCAGAGTTAAACACATGCTCCTCTGTTCTCCCAATTGACGAGACAACAGAAATGACCCAGACATCAACGAAGGAATAGGCTTATTTTACTGTTAGTGTTTAAGATAATAGCAAAAAAATGAATAATGCAATTACTTATACAGTTACTTTACAAAGCTCTAACTCGAGCAGCACAAACAGCAAACACACTAAAAAAGGTAATGCACCTAATTATTACTACTTACAGGAAAGAATAATGATAAGAAAGATACATCACCAGTTGCCCTAATACTTTCCCATCCCCCAGACCCGCAGTGGCTGGGGAGCCCCTGGTTG